AAGCAACAGATGCAATTGTTAGAAAATTGATCCTGAGGTGACTGATTGTCTCAGCGCTCACAACATCTCCTTATTAGTTACAACATATCCACTCTCTTTACAATAAATTAGTTACTCATTCCACTCCTTGCCTTCTCTTTTGATGACATTTGTGCTCCGATGATCCGAAAGACTTAAAATAGGCATAATCATCTGGTCTATTTAATACATGCACATCTCTATTGTGAGTTTTCCAGTTTATATATGTGGAATGTCTGTTAAGTTCCTAATTCAAGTACACGCAGAATAAGGTCCTAGAAAACTTCCGATCCACAAGACTGCGGGCAATTCTTCCAAACCCTAGAACTTCTTAATACGTCGAACTAATTTTGTGAAATTCCCATAAACAGCTGTGCACTTTGCTCTACTTCAAAGTTCTTCTTCTCTTTCATAGCTATATAGAGGAGGGCAAGGCACTGTGGGATACCGCTTTTCCTAAACCAAGTATCGTACTATTACACACCTCACGTAAATTATTAAGTTTACGAACGCTAATACCTACTCCGATTGGCCTATCCCATTGCCTTCTCAGACCTCTAGGCCTTATGCACTCAAATCTAATCTACCTGAAAGTTCTAAGATGATATCGATGGGGAGTAACATTCAATCACGTCCTCATGCTTCACGTAGTCCAGTTGCCAAATTCTGTTACCTGCAATAACAAAATACTCCCTATATCTGGCACAGCAAGTGGTGGCTTTGATATGAGAAGGTTTTTATTAACCCAATCGATTTCACCACGTACCAAGCGCAAGGGCAGAAAAGTATTTCTAGTCATACTTCTTTACGAAGGAGGGGCAATAGGTGCATTGTCAGGCCAAGAGAGTCGCCTGCCTCCCAATTGAGAGTCTTCAACTTCTGCAATTATAAGTTTGATACAAAGAGAGTAGGGAGTAATTATTGCGACAAGAACACTATCTGTAAATCAGCCGCCACTCTGTTGGTCAAACCCACCATCAGCCCTACTTCACTTGATCCAAATAAAGCAACGCAGATGATGGTCTTTTGAACAATCCATCTAATCGATGACGCCGGGTGTGTTGTCGCCAAATCTAATCACTTCAGATGAGTTAAACTCCAATTGGCCTATCCCATTGCCCTCTCCGACCTATATGCTTAAAGTTTAACAGATGTGATATCTTCGACCAACCTCTACACGCAACTCGTCGTTTACAGCTACATTTCACGAACATCGGCTTGTTAAGTAAACCAGATGCACGATCTATGCATTTTACATTGTTAAACTGACACATTGAACTAAGGATTAAGTTTATACTGTCCATGGTGTGTACAGTTTCCAAAAGAAATCATGCTCTATTAATACACACTTTATTTTCGACACCGTTTCGATGCTCTTCCTTTCATTCATTATTGAAATCTTCTGTTCTCCACTACTTCGGTCGCCTTGCCATGACGAAAACTCGAGACGCTTTGGTCCTGACGTGGGTGACACCACTAGTCGCTCTCACACTCTGACTTCGTCACCATTTCGATTGAACCGAGTCTAAAAGGGACAACTTGGAACCAGCAAGCGAGAACCTGGTTCATTCTAAAAGTGCTCACTTCCTACTACGAGAGGCAGAGCATTATGCACTCAAATCTCTTCTACCTTAAAGTTCTGGTTGATATCGATAGTCGAACCTTGCAAGAACTTGAGTATCTCANACCTATATGCTTAAAGTTTAACAGATGTGATATCTTCGACCAACCTCTACACGCAACTCGTCGTTTACAGCTACATTTCACGAACATCGGCTTGTTAAGTAAACCAGATGCACGATCTATGCATTTTACATTGTTAAACTGACACATTGAACTAAGGATTAAGTTTATACTGTCCATGGTGTGTACAGTTTCCAAAAGAAATCATGCTCTATTAATACACACTTTATTTTCGACACCGTTTCGATGCTCTTCCTTTCATTCATTATTGAAATCTTCTGTTCTCCACTACTTCGGTCGCCTTGCCATGACGAAAACTCGAGACGCTTTGGTCCTGACGTGGGTGACACCACTAGTCGCTCTCACACTCTGACTTCGTCACCATTTCGATTGAACCGAGTCTAAAAGGGACAACTTGGAACCAGCAAGCGAGAACCTGGTTCATTCTAAAAGTGCTCACTTCCTACTACGAGAGGCAGAGCATTATGCACTCAAATCTCTTCTACCTTAAAGTTCTGGTTGATATCGATAGTCGAACCTTGCAAGAACTTGAGTATCTCATTTTCAACAGACTGATTGAAACCCTTGTGATAGATGTTGGATGAAGAAAAACGAGATCGACAATGATCAAGTGATATCAGATGATTTAAATTAACTGGAAATGTTGATAAAGCTTATATAAAAGGAAGATGAAAATTAGTTTGCTTAACCAAATCAGAGAAGAAGTCAAAGAATGTGCACTAGATCAGCATCTACAGTAGAGTCCTGCACAAATATTAGAGAGTCGTTGATCGAGTTGGAGAAATACATAAACGGAGCACTCGCCAAGTGTCATCAACAACTTCCTGGTGTAAATACACGTTGCTCTGATTCATCCAAACGAATCATTTCAATTTGCCCACAACAACCCTCTTGTTGCGGATCGAGTGTTACGCAGACTCCTTGCTGCTCAAGTTCATGTGAACAAACCACATCTACTTGTTCGCAAGACACATTCTACTCTGATTTCAAAGCGTGTTTGGAAACGTTACTGAAATATCTAGACAGTGGACTCGCCAAATCCAGTCAATCATGTGCCGAAGTGACTTCATGCTGCTCTGATCCATGCAAATCAACGGCTTCATCCTGCCAACAAGCACAAACTCGCTGCAAAATGAGTGCTGCGCGGACTACCTCCTGCTCCAATTCATGTGGACAAACCACATCAACTTGTTCACAAAACGCATCCAACTCTGATTTCAAAGAATGCTTGGAGAAGTTACTGAAATATCTAAACAGTGGACTTGCCAAATCCAGTCAAACATGTACCGAAGGGACTTCAAGCTGCTATGATCAATGCAAATCAATGGCATCATCCTGCCAACAAGCACAAACTCGCTGCAAAATGAGTGCTGCGCAGAATACCTCCTGCTCCAATTCATGTCAACAAACCAAAACAACTTGTTCACAAGACGCATCCAACTCTGGTTACAAAGAATGCTTGGAAAAGTTGCTAAAATATCTAAATAATGAAATTGGCCAGTACCCTCAAACTTGTGTTGGGACGACTCCATTCTGCTGCAATCAACAAGTCAAACAAACAAATTCATGCTCTAATCAATCGAAGTCTTCAGTTAGAACTTCAAGCAACAGATGCAATTGTTAGAAAATTGATCCTGAGGTGACTGATTGTCTCAGCGCTCACAACATCTCCTTATTAGTTACAACATATCCACTCTCTTTACAATAAATTAGTTACTCATTCCACTCCTTGCCTTCTCTTTTGATGACATTTGTGCTCCGATGATCCGAAAGACTTAAAATAGGCATAATCATCTGGTCTATTTAATACATGCACATCTCTATTGTGAGTTTTCCAGTTTATATATGTGGAATGTCTGTTAAGTTCCTAATTCAAGTACACGCAGAATAAGGTCCTAGAAAACTTCCGATCCACAAGACTGCGGGCAATTCTTCCAAACCCTAGAACTTCTTAATACGTCGAACTAATTTTGTGAAATTCCCATAAACAGCTGTGCACTTTGCTCTACTTCAAAGTTCTTCTTCTCTTTCATAGCTATATAGAGGAGGGCAAGGCACTGTGGGATACCGCTTTTCCTACACCAAGTATCGTACTATTACACACATGACGTAANTGCCCACCAGCACCCAAACCATGTTGCCCACCAGCACCCAAGCCATGTTGTACACCAGCACCCAAACCATGCTGCCCACCAGCACCTAAACCATGTTGCACCCCAGCTCCCAAACCATGCTGTCCACCAGCACCTAAACCATGTTGTCCACCAGCACCCACTTGCTGCCCCAATCCATGCGAAGAACCCGAACCAGCCTGTCCAGAAGACAATTTCTGCTGCGACTTTCAAGATTGCTTGCCCAAGTTGCTCAACTACCTAAACTGTGAACTCGCCAAGTGCCCTCAACCATGTCCAGAGGTGACCCAATGTTGCCCAGATCCATGCCAACCAGTGGAACCTTGTTGTCCACCAGAACCCACTTGCTGTCCCAAGCCATGCTGCACTCAACAAGTCAAACAAACGAAGCCTTCAACCAACAGACGCTGTTGCTAGATAATTAATCCTGAGGTGACTTATTACCTCAGCACTTACAATATCTCCTTATAAGTCACTACTTATTCACTATCGTTACAGTAAATTACTTATTCATTCCACTCCTTGCCTTCTCTTTTGATGACATTTGTGCTCCGATGATCCGAAAGACTTAAAATAGGCATAATCATCTGGTCTATTTAATACATGCACATCTCTATTGTGAGTTTTCCAGTTTATATATGTGGAATGCCTGTCAAGTTCCTAATTCAAGTACACGCAGAATAAGGTCCTAGAAAACTTCCGATCCACAAGACTGCGGGCAATTCTTCCAAACCCTAGAACTTCTTAATACGTCGAACTAATTTTGTGAAATTCGCATAAACACCTGTGCACTTTGCTCTACTTCAAAGTTCTTCTTCTCTTTCATAGCTATATAGAGGAGGGCAAGGCAC